ATACAAAGAGGTTTATTTGTTGGTTGTTTTAAATAAAGGGAAATCAATGCAGGTTTGAAAGTAGAGCCTGACAGCAGCCTAGTTTGAAATAGACATATGCACCCCTATGTTTATCGCAACACTATTACAATAGCCAAGAAACGGAAGCAACCTAAGTGTCCATCAGTAGATGAATGGATAAAGAAGATGTGGTACATACACACAATGGAATATTATTCAGCCACAAGAAGAAAACAAATCCTACCATTTGCAACAACATGGATGGAGCTAGAGGGTATTATGCTCAGTGAAATAAGCCAGGTGGAGAAAGACAAGTGCCAAATGATTTCACTCATCTGTGGAGTTTATACTCCACAGAAAAAAGGAAAAACTGAAGGAACAAAACAGCAGCAGAATCACAGAATCACAGAACCCAAGAATGGACTAACACTTACCAAAGGGAAAGGAACTGGGGAGGATGGGTGGTAAGGGAGGGAGAAGGTGGGGGAAGAAGAAAGGGGGCATTACGATTAGCACGTATAATGTGGAGGGGGAGTACGGGGAGGGCTGTACAGCACAGAGAAGACAAGTAGTGATTCTACAGCATCTCACTATGCTGATGAACAGTGACTAATGGGGTATGTCAGAGGGACTTGGTGAAGGGGAGAGTCTAGTAAACATAATGTCCCTCATGTAATTGTAGATTAATGATACTAAAAAAAAAAGCAGAGCATGGGTGGAGAGAAGGGGAGCCAAAGAGGCAGAGGCTGAAGATGTGCTGAGTTGAAGGTGATGATAAAAATCAACTACTTGCTTGTTAATAGTAAGATATCTAGATATATAGCATAGGAAAGAATCTCATTAACAGAATCATGTCTACAAATTAGGCAAAGAAAGTATCCAATTGCAATTTAACACATGCACTGCTTTTGTGATTTATTATGCTTATAATTTGTGTGAGACAAATGAAAATACCTCTTACCTAGAATATTTTTTCTCTTCCTTTCCAGTTTTGACTCAATGATCTCTTGTGTTCTTGCAGATGAAGTCTGAGCAGAAAAATTTAGATAAACAGGAACATAGCCAGCTGATTCTTGAATTTTATTTAGCAATCCTCTTGCAATAACAGACTTTAAATGAAAAAAAGTTGATTACACATTCAGTTGTCTTTCAATTGTCTATATAAATAGTAATTCAGTCTTTCAATTGTCTATATAAATAGTAATTCAGTACAATGAATAAGAAACAAGATAAAAGGAGAAAGGTTAAATCCAGATTGAAATACCTGCCTTTCTCTTTCTGGAGTTTCCACTTAATTATTTATCAGAGCCAAAGAAATATTCTGATGAGCTCTATCTCAGCAAAAAGTTTCTATTTTAGTTTTATACCAAAACCCATCGTGATTACTATCCAGGTCAATATGACAGCACAAGTCATGGGAGACCTAAAGTTCTCTTAGAAATAATTTAGAGGGGAACAGTGACCTCCATTTATGTGGACTCCTCTTAAACCAAGGAGACCAAACAATCAGTATTTCCCTCTATAATTTTTCCAAATTCCACTGCAATGTCAGGTAGAAGTAATAGGCAGGAGGGGACAGACTGACCTTTATCAACAATCTTTTGGGGACACAAACTGCTCTGGCCAATTCCCACCCTAACCTGCATGGTGGTAGCCCCAGAAATCCAAGGGATACAACATAAAAGCCTCCAAACACAGAACATGATTCTATAGGGTCCTCTGGCTTATATAATATTGACACCAAGGATGTATTCAGAAACTAGCAACATTTGAAGTAATTCCCAAGATGGATGTAGATTCAGCATAGTTACATTCTTCCTAAAAAAAAAAAAAAGATGAAAATCCAAAAGAACTTCCCCTGAAAAATAACGTATTACTTCTGGGCCTTACAATTCTAAGTCTACCATGCTCCTGTTTTTGGACAGACCTTGTTTGATGGAGGTTTCCTACCTTACCAACTCCAGTTATTCCAGTAAACAACACTGAATGCCTGACCGCCAGTAGTTTTTCCATTAGATACCCAAAGCGCACTGTGTCAGTTGTGGGGACAAGCATTTCAAAAAATGGAACATCTGGACTGTACTTGAAGGTAGGTATGATTCGTTCCCAGGGATCCAATCGTTTGGTGTTGAAGTCCATGTGAATGCTCCATAGATCACCAGAACTGGGAAGCTAAAGTACAAAGTTGAACAGCACTTTCAGTAGGACTGACATATGGCAACATAATACTGACATATCAACACAGGCAGTCACAGAATAAGAATGTATTTGGATTTCTTTTTTCTCTGAAGAGAAGTAGTTGTTTAAGTATCACTCTAACTCTTTAAACATACTGATGCAACACAGTTTATTAAAAACCTTACATATCGATTATATTAAACTTCATATTAGAATTGTAAAGCATTTTCAATTCCACATTCAGGGGTTTACTCCAAGCCAGTTACCGTGCATGGTGCTGAGGGCAAATACTGAATGAAACCCAGTTTCTGCCTTCAATGATCTTAAAAATTAACGTGGTGGACACAAGTATACCAATTAATGCCCATAGAGAAATAGGGTTTTAATAGAATTTAGTACATTCACAAAGGAGGGATGACTCATTTCTCCTTGCAGGGGAGTTAATAGTGGTGGATAGAGATTCAGGAAGGCTTCCAAAGGATGGTAATGTTATAGTTCAGTCTTGAAGAACAAGCAGGAATCAGACGGCCAAAGAAGGGGTGGGATGGGCTGGGGAAGGAAGAGTCAGAATTCATGCTAAGAAAAGGTCAGCAAGGTTGAAGACATGGAAAGTGCTATGCATGCTGGGAACTTTGAGAGTACTGTATATGGTGAGAGATGAGTCTAGGAACACAGACAAGGCAGGTTATGAAAAGCCTCACATTAAAATAAAGAGCTTGGAGCAAGAGTTCAGTGAAGGGTTCTAAGTCGGTGTGTGACGTGACTCAATTACATTTCAGAAAATTCATTCTGGCAGCTGTGCAGAGCAGTTGTATTTCAAGCTCACTTGACAGCAACTCTTAATAAGAATTCCATTTTACATGGTGACCTAGTATATACATATGTATGTGTGCATCTACAAATATTTATAATGTTAACCCTTACTCTCTGTGATTCACTCTATTTTCTAATCTATTCGATTCTTTTTGGAAAAAATTTTGAGGTATAGCATAACATCTTTTGTCAGATGTTAAGATTTCAGTTTAAAGGGGTTTTACAATGAGACTACTCCTGGATCATGATATAACATGTTCAGAACCTTACAAGGCCCCTTTCTTCCCCATCTCCATCAATACCAGCCATACTTATGTCCTCTTCTGAGATAAGTCACTAGTCTACCTGTCTGGTCTATTTGTCTACCCTTGTGCTAATAACACACTCTCTTAATTATTGTTTCCTTGAAGTCTTGAATTATTGAAATAATGTAGTTCAAGTCCTCCAAATTTGCTATCTTTAAGACTGTCTTTGTTATTATAGGTCTTTTCCATTTTCATATGCATTTTATAATGAGATTGTCAGTTTCCATGAAAATCTGTTTGGTGTTTTGGGATCAGAAATTTCTAGAATCTTCAGAATATCCTGGGAGCACTTAATAATATTGAGCACTCTCACCTATGAACATTTATGTAGAACTTTTAAATGCTCCCAGCAGTGTTTTGTAGTTTGTAGTGTAGAAGTCTTTCATATCTTTCATTAGATTTTTTCCTAAGTGTTATTTTGCTACTATTGCAAATCATATTGTTTTAAAATTTCATTTAACTTTTCATGGACCTTGTATGAAAATGGCCTTGCTAATTTACTCATTAATTCCAGTAATTCATTTGTAGATTATTTAGCATTTCATATTCAGTTATCTTTCCTGAAAGTAATGACAGTTTTATTTCTTCCTTTCCAAGTTTATGCTTTATTTCTTTTTCTTGCCTTATTGCACTGGCTAGGATCACCAATACAGTGTTAACTAAAAGTTGTGATAGTGGCTATTTAATTTTTAAAATTGAATTGTGGCTCTTTTAATTGATTTCATAATCAATTAATAGACTGTAATCTGTAATTTTAAAAACATTATTGTAGAGGGTGAGTTAGATAGGATTGGACTAAAGGCAAGAGAATAATAAATAGGCTATTTTAATAGCACAAGAAAGAAATGATGAGAACCTGAGTTACCAAGAGGCAATGATGATGAAGAGGAGAGGATATATTTGGAAAAACAAGTAGAAGAAAAAACTCATACAATTTAGTTTCATTGGCTATGGGAATGTGAGTAACATAACAGTCCCTGAGTTCTAGTGAGTATGGTTTATTCATTTGGGACGTGCAGACAGAAAGAGGAATCCACTATTTTCCATCTGGGCCCCCTCCTGTTATCCAAGTAGCATTGTCACTGCCAGCACAGGGGCTGGCACTGTCTTGTTAAATATCCTCTGCTTGTAATCCATCCTTGGCTTCTTGTTGCACCAAAGGTAAAAACTCAAAGTCTTTACAATGGTCCATAAGGCCCTACAGGTTCTGCTCCACTGTTATCTCTTTAATCCCATCTCTTAGTACACTCCACTTGGTCATCACACTCTGACCCACCTGCCTCCTTGCTGTTTCTCAAAATTGCCAAGCAATTACTTATCAAGTAAAGGCATTTGTACTTGCTGTTGCTTCTAATTGGAATGCATTCCTCCTAAAAAAATCACTAGTGCTTTGACTTTCTTTGGGACTCTACAAATGTGACCTTATTAGCAAAGCTTTCCTAACTACCACATATAACATAGTTTGCCAATGAACCCTGGAATTCCATACCATCTTACTCAGCCTTATCTTTCTTCATAGCACTTATTGCCACCTGATGTATTGTACATTTGTTTATTGTTGATTCCTCTCATATAAGGTCTATGAGGCTAGGGACTTTGTTTATTTGTTTTGGTCCCAGTATGTAGAATGGTGCCTGCCGTGCAACAGGTATTCAATAAATATTTGTTGAATTGACTACTAAACAGTTGTTCTGGGCCATCTTCTATTGTCCTTTGATGATTCCACATAATTTCCCTTGACCAGAAGCGTCTCTCTTTCTGTCTCAGATTCCCAGTTGTTCTTGATCTGGTCCATCCTGTTCAATTATGATACAATCATCTTTAGGGTCCAGAAGGGTTTCACATCTATTAGAAGGTCTCAATCTATAGGGGTCAGATTCATGATTTAGGGATTTTTTTCATTTGGTAACTTTTTATTTTGATATAATTTAAAAGTTACAGAAAAGTTAACATAAAAGTTCAAATAATTCTATATATTCTTTATTTAGATTAATTGTATGTTTACATTTCCCCCTCTTGCTTTATTAATATCTTTCTCTACTCTATGATAGGGAGTTATATGCACTATTCTACCTTACCCTAAATACTTGAGTATTTCCTAAAGAACAAGGATATTTTCATATATAACCACAGTAAGATGATCAAAATCAGGAAATTGAAGAGTAATATAATGTTATTATCCAATACACATTCAATATTCAGGTATTGCCAATAGTTTAAATTATGTCATTTATAGTTATATTTTTTCTGTCTAGGATCCAATCCATGATAATGCATTGTATTTAGTTATATATCTTTAGTGTCTTCACCTGGAAAAGTTACTAAGCTTTCTTTGTCTCTCATGACAGACATTTTTGAAGAATACAGGCCAGTTTATTTTATACAATGCTTGTCACTTTGGGTATCCCAGGTGTAGCCTCATAATTAGATTCAGGTTATGCATTTTTAAAAAGCATACCTAAGAAACAAGTTGTATTCTTCTCAGTGTACTATATAAGGAGATACAACTTTGTCCTAATATTGATGATATTGAATTGATCTCTTAGGGTAGTGTCTGCAAGGTTATTTTTTACTGTAATGATGCTATTTTTCTCTTTGTAATTAATCAGCAATTTATAGGAGATGCTTTGAAATTATATAAGTATTGTTGCTCATCAAACCTTCACTCACTAGTTTTAGCATCCGTTGATGATTCTTACCTAAATCAATTATTACTATAATGGTTCAAAGTAATGACTTTTTAACTCCATCATTTCTTCCATACAGACTAGTTGGCATTCTATTGTTAGGAAGAGCTCTTTCTTCTCCCCCATTTATTTATTCATCTATATTTTTATTATCAGTATGCACTCATATATTTTTATTTTTTTGAAAGGCTTATAATCCCATACTATTGTTATTTATTTTGATGTTCAAATCTGCCCAGATTTGGCCAGTGGGAACCCCTTCAAACTGGCTCCTGTGTTCTTTGGACATGTACTTTCATTCTTTGAGCACTTCTTTAGATAAAAAGGTAGTCTAGGCTCATTTTGTGTTTTCCCTGCTCAGTCCTGGAATTGGCTGTTTCATTCGGGAGCATTGGTATCTTTTGTGGAGAATAGTATTCAGAAATTATTATACTAGGTATGCTCATTGCTATTGAGGTGTCATTGCTTCCAGTTCCTCTCAGAACACAGAACTAGGAAATTTATGTATGTATGGATACATTTACATTTTCATATATACATGTATGAACGGATACCTCCAATGCCAGTCCAATAGCAGTGGGCACATTCTAATCTTTCTCTTTCCATTTTTGTAAATATATTCTCTAATAGTTGTATTTTCCTCAATATATTTCTTCATTTGTCCAGTCTTAGAGTATACAGAAAGTAATTTCAGAATCCTAAACCATAACATTGTGGAAAATAAAATTATTAACTAGAATTCAGTATGTGTTTATAGTAGGGAGTTTTTATATAATTTTATACCTTACTTTCATATCTTATTTTCTGTATATGGCTGGGAAAGGACCCCTAAAAATTTTAATACAATAAGTGGTATCTATGGTTTAAAAAAGAAAATAATTTTAGAAACACTTTAAGTGAAGAATTTTTGCAACAGAACTAAGGTTTTTAAAATTTAAGTCTTGAAATTTAATTTAAATGATTCAGAATTTTTTTGGCTCTTACCCGGGCATCAGGATTATCATCAAATTGTGTTCTAATAAATGTATCAAAAGAGTCCCAGTAGTTTTCAGTTAGATTTCCACCCAAAGACCATAAATAACAGAATATAAAAGTCTGACATATTACAGTGTTCAGTTTTGTTTGTTCCTGAAAGAACAAAAAGAAAGAATTTTAGTATTTTATGTTCACATAAAAATAATCCTAAATTGCAAAGTTTAAAAACTGTTCTCTTTTGTTTTGACTCATGCATTTTAAAATGGACACAGGGCATGTTTTTCATACTTTGTTCAATGTTTCACAGAGTGATATTTTATAATTGTACATATTTAAATAATCTTCTGAGAAAATGAATGATAAAGACTATGTTTAAAAAAGCTCAAGGTTATCTTTCAACTATTATAACTTACATGAAGGTATTTAAGCAGCTTCTAGATAGACACACATTGGGAATATGTTGTAGACTGTAAGGGAATTTAAACATAAAGAGGAAGAGTAAACTACAGGCTCTCTAATGTTCCTCCCCACTTTGAGATTGTGAATCTCTTCACAGTCATTAATTTCCTGGAAAACTAACTTGAAAATCAAATGATCATACTACAGAAAGTTTAGTTATTTACTTGTAAAGCATCTATACAACAATCTCATTTTCCTAGCTTAATAGCAGTAAAAAAAACCCTTCATACTATTGCCAGGTTAACTCCATCTTTCCCAAGAATCAAAGACTCCAGTAAGCAACAGAGTGTAGTGACTTTGCTGATGTCCACTTGTGGGATTGCTTGGCCACATTTTTTATTGATAAAATTTAAACCATCATCAACATAACGTTGGAAAAGGTTCAATATGTATTCTTGGGTTTCCTGATTCAGCTGAAAATCAAACAAAAAAATAATATTTTAGTAAGAGCAGATGTAATATACAATTAAGTTTAGAAATGGATTGGCTCTAATCTTTATATTACATTATATTCTATGACTTTTAGACTAAAGTGTACAAGCATCACAAGATATGAAACAAATTAAACTTTTAAAATCTTTCTATGACTTGGAAGAGACATAGGGGGGAGATTCTGGGTAGCTGATAATGTCCTACATCTTCATCTGGTGGAGGGCACACCGTGTTTGTTTTATAGTCATTTGTAAAACTGTCAATATGTATTTCATGCAGTTTTCTACATCAACATCTCTCACAATTAAGAATAAAAAAAGAAACATAAGGGAAACATTTTAAATATCTATGTAAGGTAGAAAGAATAATTTATAATAATTTTAAAAAGAAGGTATCCCCTTTCACTATTACTATTCAACATTGTACTGGAAGTCTTAGCTAATGAAATAGGACAATAAAAGTAAATAAAAAGTACATATTGGGAAGGAAGGAAAAAACTGTCTTTGTTCACAGATGACATGATTGTCTAAGTAGAGAATACCAAAGAACTCCTGGAACTAATAATTAATTAAAGCAAGGTTGCAGGATATAAGGTTAATATACACAAATCAATTGCTTTCCTATATACTAGCAATGAGTAATTGGAATTTGAAATTAAAAATGTAACACAACACCATTTACATTAGCACCAAAAAATGAAATACTTATTGTCTTAGTAAAGTATTTCAAAAGTGAAATACTTTAATTAGAACAAAACATGTATAAGATATGAAGATGTATAAGAGTCTGATGAAAGAAAACAAAGGAGATCTAAGTAGCTGGAGAGTTACTCTGTGTACATGGATAGGAAGACTCAGTATTATTAAGATGCCAGTTCTTCCTATCTTGATCCATGGATTCAATGCAATCTGAATCAAAATACCAGCAAGTTACTTCATGGATATCAACAAATTGATTCTGAAGTGTATATGGAGAGGCAAAAGACCCAAAACAGTCAGTACAATAATTGAAGAACAAAGTTGGAGGACTGACACTATCTGATTTTAAGACTTTGTATAAATCTTCAGTAATCAAGACAGTGTGGTGCTGACAAAAGGAGAGACATGTAGATCAGTGGAATGGAACACAGAGCTCAGAAGTAGACCTGTAAAAATAGAGTCAACTGATCTATGACAGAGGAGCAAACATGATACAATGGAGAAGGGACTGTGTTTTCAACAAATGGTGTTGGAATATCTGGACAGTCATATGCAATAAAATGACTCTAGACACTGATCTTACACCTTTAACAAAATTAACTAAAAATGGATCATATACAGAAATATAAAACAAAACTGTAACACTTCTTGAAGATAACAGAGAAAATCTGGCAAATTGGACTTAATTAAAATTAAAAACATGCTTTGTGAAAGATACTGTTAAGAGGATGGAAAGACAAATCAGACTGGGAGAAAATTTTTGCAAAAAACATGTCTGATAAAGAACTTGTATCCTAAATATACAAAGAAGTCATAAAACTCAACAATAAGGAAACAAGCCAATAAAACGTGGGCAAAAGATTTGAACAGGCACTTCACTGAAGAAGACATATGGGTGGCAAATAAGCATATGAAAAGACACTCACATCATATATTAGAGAATCCCACATTAAAACAACGAGATAACACTACAGACCTGTCAGAATGGCTAAAATTTAAAACACCAACACCATCAAATGCTGGTGAAGATGTGGAGCAACAGGGATTCTCACTTCTTGCTGGTGGGAACACAAAATGGTATGGCCACTTTGGAAGACAGATTGGCAGTTTTTTACAAAGCCAAATATAGTTTTACTGTATGATCTAGCAATCAGACTCTTAGGTATCTATCCAAATGAGTTGAAAATTTATGTCCATACAAAAATGTGCATATGGCAGTGTATAGGAGCTTTTTCATAATTGTCAAAATTTGGAATCAATTGAGATATCTTTCAGTAGGCAAATGGATAAACTTGGTAAATCTATACAAAAGAATATTATTCACAACCAAAAAGAAATAACTATCAAGCAACAGAAAGACATGGAGGAAACGTAAATGCATATTACTAAGTTAAAGAAGCCAATTTGAAAAAGCTACATACCATATGATCCCAATCATATGACATTCTAGAAAAGGCCAAACTATGGAGACAATAAAAAAACCAGTGGCTGCCAGGGGTTGGGAGGGGGTGTGGATGGAAGAAGGTAGAGCACTGAGTTTCAAGGAAGGGAAACTATTCTGCATGATACTGTAATGGTGGATACATGACATATGCATTTGTCAAAACCCACAGAATTATGCAACACACAAAGTGAATTCCAATATAAACTATGCACTTTAATTAATAATAATGTGTCAATATTGGTTCATCAATTTTAACAAATGTACCACACCAAAGTAAGATGTTAATAACAGGAGAAATTATGGAGCAAAGGGAGTATATTACTCTCTGTACTTTGTGTTAAATTTTTCTATAAACCTAAAAAGTTCTCTAAGTAATAAAGTCTATTAACTTAAAAAAAAGCGAATTCAGTGAGTTTTAAAAATCTTATGGTAGCCCATGATAAATTCTCAATTCTGAGAATTTCTTTAATAAGGTTTTCTGACAATAGATCACAATATTGTTAAAATGTTGATGACTAAGAATGAAGAAAACAATAGTTTTCTGATTCACCTTTGGAAGATGGGAGGCAGAAAGAAGATGGCCCTCTTGGAGTAGAGGCTGGGGTGGGGCAAAACACTTCTAAGCATCACTTATTAAGCGAAGGCAAAGAAAAAATCTGATTTTAGAGTGGAACGGGTACAGAAGATAATATGGAGCTGAGTTGTCGTGAATAATAATGCAAAAGCTTTCCATCACTTAGGATGGGACGGTACTTCTGAGGTTAGAAAATGTCTTGGTTCACGGCCCTAAGATTGGGCAGGTGTTTAACTGGCTCTCAGAGGTGTCAGGGGCTCCTAAAATTGAAAACAGTGACAGTGTCTGGATTGAAATGTTCTTTTCCTTCATTGTGATTCCCTCTCATTTCCCAAGCCTTTTACAAAGTTTTTTAATGCCCCAGCCTGTTCTAGCTGTGTTCTGGGGGGACTCAGCAAAGTTGTTTGTGTTTTCACTTGAGAGGAACCAGAGTGGGAGGAGGCAGCGACCAGAGTGACCAGGCAGGAGGCAGGCTGAGGTAATAAATACTGAGACCACGTTTGGAATTCCCCCAGTCAAGCATGATGAGGCTTACTTACTGTGATTTGGGCACACAGGGAAGGGTGAGCCCTGACAGATGGAGATACAGGGGACTATCTGGTTGCACTTACTTTTTTAGAAATACCCTTCATCCATGTTTTAACATAAGGCATCCATTTCAGTTCTTCAGGATCCACAAACACCATTCCACATCGACTGACTGTTGCAGGAGATGCAACTTTTAGATCTTGCACCTAAAATTGCAGGAAGTTGAACAGGTAACAACTAATACGATATTTCCCTGTTCTTCCAATTTCAATGTTAATGAGTCACACACTTCAAGTTAACACTGAATGACTTTATGTAGAAGGCAGTGAGAGAGCTATAGGTAAAGACAGATGAAGAAGGAAAGTTAAGTTTTTCCCATAAGGTAAAATCAAGTGTAGGTGGATACTATCAAATCCTTATGGGAAGCTATAGGTATTTCTTTTTCCTTCTCTGCTTTTCTCTTGCCTTTTCCATTCTTGTTTCTAATACCTAGCCTAATATCTGGCACACAGAAGGCATTCGGTCAATGTTTGATGAATGAATAGAGCAGGGGTGGTATATTCCATATTTTGTAGCTGTATTTGGTCCATTATTCCTCTTCCAATCTCTCCACCAAATAGTCATTCCTCAGAGGGATAACTTATTCATGTAAACATAACAATTTTTTAAACTTAGCATTTCAAATCATGTAAAGTCACCTACATATCTATATAAAGTACTTCCAAAGGAAAATAGTAAGTGCTGGGGAGGCCAGAATTGATTGTATTTTCTGTTTATAAAGAGGTAGGAATATTTGAGAGACTTTGGCTATCAGGATGGACAACCTGTAATAAAAACACAATTTGGTAAGTATTTATTATATAAACAAAACAAAACACCATGTAGGCTTTACAGGTAGTAACTGATTTATCAGTAAGAGGAAAAATATTAATGATAGTCTGCAATCTACTAAATGATTTCACTCCACAGTAAGGTAGAGATATTTACCTCAAAAAGCATGTGGATTTGAGGTGTAAGTTTAATCCTCTCACTGTTAGCCAGGCAAAGCATCTTGTTATCGTCCAACACTGTATTCATATTTTCGATCCAAAGAGCATCCACTGGCCCATCACTGATGATCCACTTATGGTCTTTAGAAGTATCATTCACAGCTGCTCGGACACTTAGTGCCATCAAACCATCCTTCCACTCCAAGGTTATGTTATTAACTTCACCATATAATTCACCCATTGTAATTGATTTCGGATTAAGAACATATGTTTTAACTGGTTGGTAAAATGGATTTGCTATACCAAGCTTTTGCAAATCCCCTAAAGTTTCTGCTAGTACTTGGTAAACTGTGGTCTTGCCTCCTCCTGTTGGCCCGACTAACATAACACCATGTCTTACCAGTATCGTTTCATAGAACTGTATCACTTTTTTAACCATACATGTCTCGGGCTGAAGGTTCTGTCTATTCATGACATCTATAATTGTTGATTGCAATATACCATAATCATGTTCTGGAATTTGGACTCCAGGAAAAAGGTCAGATATGATTCCACTGAAAAAATTAAAAAAAAATCTATTAGGAACCACTGGTCACTGATATTTTCCCATATTTTTTATAATTAATTGATAAAACATGACTATGAGTCTCATTTTTCTTGATTTTTTTTCTTCTGAACATGCGAGTATTAGTCTATTCTGCGTGTTATACCAGAACCTATCATTTCTCTGATATTGTGTATGATTTTTTTTTGTCCAGTAGACCAGTATTATTAAGTATATTGGGAGCTTTTTGAGGTAAAGAATATCTTATGTATTTGTATTGTCCATAGTACAGGGTACAGTACCAAGTATATAGAAGGTGATAGATTTATCAGTTTATTTTTAAAATTATATTTATATATCAACTTTTTCAAAAGCATTTATATGTGCTTATAACTGTATAGGGTTCAGAAAAATAAGATAGAAATAGAAGTAGAAAACCAGCAGTAGGTAAAAAAGGGAGTAAAAAGAAACAGTGACTGTTTCTGTGAGCAAAGGTTACTATGGGATGTTTCTATGGGTAAAAAGATGCTAAACCCTACTTACATAAAGTATGTAAATACTTTATATAAAGTACAATGTATTAGGAGAACATCTTGATAGAAGTTATCTAAATTAAAAATGTATATACACAATACATTTGAGATACAGTAAAGATCCTAATATAAAATGACAGGAGATTATCATTTAGATGAAAATAAAAGAGATGAATTTTGCAACACAGTGGTAAGATCTTTTCTAAGAAAGACAAGATATCTACAAAGGTAAAAAAAGTTGATAAAGCAAAAAAATAAAAATAAGCCAAAACCAAACTTCTGTGAGATAAAAGGCCTTATATATAAACTTTAAGAATGAGTGTTAGAGTTAGATAAGTGTTTTCAATTTTTGCTATCAGATATAATTTACGAGTTTCCATGAATCAATAAGAAAAAGAGCACAAGAGAAAAATGCTCTAAAAATAATAAGTATAAATGACTAAGGAACACAAGAAATGATGTTCAATGATACCAAAAATTAAAGATAAGAATATTAAAATAGGCTATAACTTTTGGTTTCTTTAAAAGATTTAAAGGGAAATGGGAATTTTCATAAAATTATTTATGTAAAGTACAATGTATTTGGAGGACATCTTGATAGAAGTTACCTAAATTAAAAGTGTCCATACCCTGTGACCTACATAGCTTACTTCCTAGAATCTCCTAGAAGTATCATAAGTGTGCAAAGATAAATGTATAGGAATTTTCTTCATTGTGTTCTGTCAAAAGGGAGTAGTAGAGAGTGTTCTGGAAAACAGGGGATCTGATAGAGGACAAAGGTGAAGGGAATCCCCAGTATAGTCATGTATGGACATCCCAGGATGATAGATGTACAGGGCTAATGGACAAACCGTGCATTTATACCTTCTATGATTGAAGGGTTTTTTAGGAGCTGTGCACTCTGGTAAAATACTGAGATAAATTAATGATAGATTTATAGTCAGGTAGGTAAAGGATTAAAAAATAAGTCTAAGAATAAATGCAGGCAAAATAAAATCTAGATAATTTAATAATAATAGAAGTATAGCTCAGCTGTGGATAATATTTATGTAGCTACAATAAAATATGGAAGTCCTGGATATTTAGCTCAAGTTAGATTGCAATGTCATTATACAGACAGGGTGGGGGAGGGGAGAGATGCATGTGCATAGCCTCATCTCCCTTTTAGTAAGTTTATGAAATATGTAAGGCTGAAAAACCAAGAAATGCCATAAACATGGCACTAAAAAATATGGAGTGAAATAGCAAAACAAATGAAGAATTGAAAAATGATTGCCTTTGAGAAGTAGGAGTTGGTGAAGGGCAGAGAACTATTGTTTCTCATGAGTCTAATTTGTGACACTTATCCTTTTTTTTATTAGGGTATCATTGATACATACTTTTATGAAGGTTTCACATGAAAAACAATGTTGTTACTAAATTCACGCTTATTATTGAGTCCCCCCTCATACCCCATTGCAGTCACTGTCCATCAGTGTAGTAAGATGCCAAAGAGTGTGACACTTACCTTTAATACTACATACATGTATGACTTGGATAAACATAAAACTAAATAAAAGAAACAAATAAAAGCAATCACATTTATGTCAAGCCCCAAGTCTGATTTTTGTGGGGTCAGGAATTTTTCTTAGGTCAGAAACTTGTAACCAAATGCTAATTGTACAGCCCATAGCCTAGTAGTCAATATTTTGAAAAAAATAAAGGACTGGATTGATAGATACTAACAACATTAGTGTGTATTTTAAATTAGTTTTTTAAAACTGCAATAAGTATCTCTAGAAAAGATTAATAAGTTATTACCTGCTGGAGACATATAATTGAAGGTAAGACTATCCTTTACCTCTGCATGACAGCTCTGTTTTATTCTGTAACATCTAGAAACTTACCTAAACAGAATAGCATCGTCTGTTAGGAATTTTGGCAGATTGGAGTCCCGTAAAGCTCTTATCAACACCACATCTTCACTTAGGCCTGGGTTCTCTCTCTTCAGAGACCTAAATTTAAAGGAGTGATTCAGATGGTATTGTGAGAAAATAATACTGAATGTGATTTTCTGAACTGGAAGATCAGGGATTCTGCTCACAAAAAGTGGTGGAGGGAATAGCCCTGTGGATTCCTAATGGAAGGAGAGGATCATCCTTCCTTGCACGCCCAGGTCTGTCCCATCAGAGCACAAGGACAAGTCAGGCACTGGCTACATTGCCTTGAAGAGATTGACAGGGTATTTTCTCAACTGCCCCCCTGAACGTGGGCATTTTCCTACCTGAATTTACAGTTCCCTCAGTGCACATGATGATTCACATCCCTGTGTCTTCCTTTTCTCTCAGCCCAGAGGCTCTGCTTCATGCATTTGCCAGCTCTTACCTCCCCTTCGAAGCCCAGCCCAGTGACTCCCTCCTCTGGAAAGTCCCTCTGTCTCTGTCTTCAGTGAACCTCAGGCACAGCCCTGCGGGTCCCTCACCACACTGTATCCTAGGTGACCACCTTGCCCAGTGGTCTGTACTTGTGTTCTTTGAGGGTAAGTATACCTGAACTCCTTAGTATCTCTAGTCTTTACATGGCACTTGTGTAAAGGGGAGAAATACTGTATCTGGAATGTTAAAGGAAGGAAGAGAGGCTAGAGAAGGGCAGGGAGGTTTGTGCAGAACCTAGGGTTACAGAAGCCAGGAGCGGGGCCCTCAGCTAGTGAGTCATGGCCAGAGAGGACAGGAGAGAAGACAGACTCTCTTAGACTCTGGAAGAGTTGGGGATTCGAAGGGTAGGAGTTTCAAGAGGTTTTAAAGTGGAAAGCTGGGTCCTGAAAGGAGGAAAGACTCTTGCCTTACTAGAAACTACAAGGCAGTTTGTAAAGACAAAGGTGAAGTCTAGGACATGAGCCTGGACTGAGGACAGAATGATGGAACTGACGTTTCTCTTACGGCCTCAGGCTTTGTCAGGTGACGTGTATGACCTAACTTACTGCATATGCATAACAAACTATGCCTTTTAGATCTAGTCACCCTATTTTATGCAGGCAAAGGCTTTTGTATACTAAAAACCCAATGTATGTGAGCAGTTTGGGAGAACACAAGTTAGCCAAAGCCTGAGAGAGACTCAGTTTTGGGGACCATGTTGGGTCTCATAGCGAAGAACTGTCATGGGGTGAAGAGAGATGCCCCATGTCACTGTGGCATAGGGATGGTGACATAAGATGATGCCAACAGCAGCAGCTAACATTTATTAATCACTTCCTCTGTTGCTTTAAGAGCTAATTAATACTTCGATTACTTAGTTTGGAATCTCACTGTTGACTACTTTGGTTTCTTACCCGGCCATGACCAGTACAGACTTTACAGCTCTCATGCCGAAGTCATAGTGATCCTGCTGAGAGAGCTGTTCACTGCAAAGCTTATACATCTGAGTCATTTTTCTTGCTAGTATTTTACTGGATTCAAATCCTTCTGAATACAGAATCACCTAGAATGGAAAAGTATAATCCAATATGTGTATTATATTTATACCAATATATTAGCATAATACCAATGTGTTCAAAATACACTTTAAGAATTATACACCTCCAAATTTTTATGTCACTTAGTAAAAAATGTAGAGATTAAGAAAGGTTTTCTGTGCCACAAGCAGGCAGAGGTGCGTTGTTACACAGGGATGCCCGAGCACTGATTCTGCTTTCTTTCTGCAGGTGCAAATGTGGCTGTGGTGACATTTGGCTCAAGGAGTAACAGAGCCCTGTTTGAAAATGTTCACGTCATGGGGATTGGATGGTGTTATAAGGCCTAAGTGTAAGGGTAAGACCTGAGTATCCCTGATGTGGCAGGCAATGCCACCCAGGACAGAATCCATGGTAGCTATGCACTCCCTTGTAGGCTCCCTGAGAGTCAGGAGAAGCTACACAAAGGTTTGCAGCTTGTCCTCCACCCTAGGAGGCTAACTGCTTCTAACAAGTTTCTGTATCTGTGGTTAAATGAACCACATGATGTCACTGGAGGTGGGTGTGGACCGTTCCTCAACCCAGAGTCTACTCAAATCAGTGCAGTTGGCCTCAGAATTGGGCTGGGAAATGATGCAGACATTTCTTAGTGGTGTCTGTTTTGTTTATTGCTTTGTCACTGCCAATTAGCACGATGCTCTGTACATTGCAGATGATTAAAAATATTTACTGATAACAGAGTTGAATCTATTCAGTCTGCAACAACCATAGGAATAGTACTCAAAAGACTGGATTTTAAAAATTTTCCAATTAATTACTGAGTAATATGACAATAGGACAAAGCATGAAATGTGAACAAAATGCTGGACTGAGTTTTAAACCTGGTTTTCTTCCTAACAGCTTTGATCAACGAGCAAGTCACTTATTGTCCCTGTCCTTAGAGGGTCTAAAGTGAAGAGACCGCTTGCCTTATCTGCCTGCCATCCCACAGTGCCCATAGGGGGTGCCGGGGGACCCATGACATGCTGTAAGCATCACACTAATAAAAATTGTATCTAATAGTAGGATTTGGTATGGTCTATTTTATCCTTAGGTAATTACTTTTACTTTACACAGAATATTCTAAGTTAGCTGTTATTAAAGGAATGTATTAACCACAGGAGTAATACGTGCTTTGAGAAATGCCATTCTAAAAGGAGTAGTGCCTCTTGGTTTAAAATGCAGTGCTGAGAATGAGGGGCTTTCTGGAGTTTTGAAAATGTCCTATATTTTTGTCTTTACCAAAATACATGTGAATACATGTGTAATAATCCACTGAGGTGAATACACGTGCAATAATTCACTGAGTTGTACCCTTATAATCTGTGCATTTTACTACATACAAATTATACCTCAGTAAAAAGTGCCAAGAAAAATACATATAAAATTTAAATATACTGGTTCTTAGCTTGTAGGAAGAAACCAACACCAGTTTAAATAGAAAGATTCCTAGATGGATACAGGAAGAACAAGTACAATCATAAATAACTCATTAATTACTATTTTTTGACTAAGCTGGTACAGCTTCAAAACCAATCCCTGCCCTCCACCACAGTGATTAGTATTGCTTCTGCTCAACATCCCTTGCCTCTAATAACAAAACAATGCAGAGAAGTGAGAGTAATATTTATTATAATAGTAAAATGCTTATTATATAATACCAATATATTAGCATAATGCCAATGTGTTCAAAATCCACTTTAAGCATTATACCTCTCCAAATTGTTATACCACTTAGTAAAGAAATGAAAGATTGAGAAGAGTTTTCTGTGCCACAAGCAGGTGGAGGTGCATTGTTACACCGGGATGCCCGAGCGCTGACTCTGCTTTCTTTCTGCAGATGTAAATGTGGCCGTGGTGACATTTTTTTAGAACACATACAGACATTTTAATTCTTAAAGATGAATTGGTTAATTAAATTCATTGATTCATTCCAGTTTTAGGGGCTTACTATGTTCCAGATACCATTCTGGGTTATTAGGGATATAGCAGTTACACACACACACACACCCTTCTACATGTGAAAAATCATATTTATACTTAAAAGCAAACAATAATGTGAACTTTTGCCAGGGTGCATTCACAAAGACAACTTTTTACCTCAAAAGATTCAAATTGTAAATAAAAGAAACAAGCTGAAATTCTTGCTGATTTATAATATGAATCTCACCTCTGCAATCAAGGCATAATTTGGAACCATCATCGCAAAGGGTCTAAACAGAGCTTTCAAATTATCTGGCAGTTCAGTTCTGCCTGCATACCCAGGATTCATGGTGATGAAGGCTGCGCAAGTCATGACCAACTTTATTTCCCGCCCCTCAAACATGAATCTAGAGAGCTGTTTAAAGGAAAGAGAAAATATAACTTAACACTTCCCCAGACACTAGTAAATTCTTTCCCATAATTAGTACTCGAATATAAAATGTGTAGCGGAGCATTCAAGCAGACTACAGACGGCTGCTGTTGGACCCACTCCCAGTCTCTTCTGGGCTCAGTATTTCCTCTCTCTGTCTCCCTGCCCCTTGCCCAAACTGGCTCTTCCTTCCTGGCCCAGTCCTGCAGTCTTCTAGGCCTCATCATCTTTTGGTTAGACTCCTCAAACAACATAGATTTAGTGACCATTAAACCTCCTCCACCTCTACTTTCTGGTATTCCTTAAGAAATTCTAATCTGATCTTACTCCTTGGGGGACTGAGGCCCCACAGTTACTATCACTGGCCCTACTCCTTCACTTTAATTCAATAGCAAACACCTACTGAGCATCTTTTGCAGTAAGGCAGCAGGTGAGGCCTGGAGGGAGATGGCTGAGGGAGACTCACTCCTGAGCCTTGGAGAGCTTCCAGGCTTGCTGCGTGGAGTCAGACCTGGCATTGGAGAGGTTGGACAAACTACAGACATGGGCATCAGTCAGGCACTCTTACTGGGGAAAATGACAAGACCCAGAATTCTGGAGTGATCAGTAGGAATGAGAGGACTCTAGCAGATAAAATCAAGTAGACTTGGTGATGGCTTAGATTTTGGGGTTCACAGTAACAGGGAAAATCCAAGATGAATTCCAGGTTTCTAGCTGGGCTGCTGGAGGAGGGCACTATTAAGACATCAGGAATTGAGGAAGGACCAAGAGATCTGTCAGTTCCTGGAGGAGAAAATGTGGGACAGTACAACTGGAGACAAGTCCTATTGCCATTGAATGGTGGTTGGTGCCATTCAAACCCGCAAATTTCTGTGCCCTCCCTTCTTCTGCTGCTCCAGACTATCTCAGATGTGGCTAGTCTCCCATGTCCTTCTACCTTCCTCTTACCTCACATGGCTGCCCCCCAGCTGGCCGTGCTTCAATTCTGCCTCCGTGCTCTCACTTCTCCCTTATAACTCCCCGTGCTTTGCTCTCAGCTAATTGCTCAGCAAGGGGATAGTGACTTATGTGTAATGCTACATCTGGGGATCCCTGCATTTAATATGGAGGCAGGAGGGTATGCAGTTGACTTTCAAGCTCAGACTTTAGGGTCACATAGATTTAGGTGTGTATCTTGGCTTACAGTGTCCCCAGAAATATATTTTTAACTTCTTTGAATCCTTTTCACCTATAACGTTGGAAAAATGCCATCTACTTCACATAGGTCTGACATGAAGATAAAATAAGTGTAAAGTACAATGGTTTATATAATTTAGTGGCTCATTAAAGTCCAACTTCTTTTTTCTTTTTACTTGTTCTATAATTTGCTTTTTTGTAGAGGTGATAATCAAAATATTTAATACCTTCCCATGAGAATGGCTTCTGTTGCTATAGCTAGAGCTGGGTCCCCAGGGCCCTTGCTATGCCAGGATGAACCCTTATGGCTAGGTCCTGAGGAGGCCTGGAGCTCTTCAGAAAGGGGCCAAAGCAATGGTGGTGGACCCTCCAGGGGTTCAGGGCAGTGGCTATTTAAATTTAAATACTAAACAAGTGGAAGGCTATTCTGGTTTGTATAGGCTAAACATCCGTCTGCCCATTGTGATCTCATGACCATATCTTGAATGTCAGCACAGAGTGGTAAGGGACATGGTCTCATCCTTCACTGCCATCAGCTTCCCAATACAACCCCCTTCTCCAGGAACATGCTTGTATGGGCTAAAACAAATTTTAAGTAGTGGGCCATCTTCCTATCTTCATCTGACCCCATAATTCCTTGGCTTTTCCAGTCCAGGGAGTTCTGGAGAGTCAAGGTCCCGTTGGGTTCCCCAGGACTCCTCTCCCACTTGTCTACAGCACTAGACTGAGCCTGGGGGCCATAAGAAGTCAGTGGAACCCAGAAGAGGCAGCATTAGTGATTCACATCCCTGTGTCTTCCTTTTCTCTCAGCCCAGAGGCTCTGCTTCATGCATTTGCCAGCTCTTACCTCCCCTTCGAAGCCCAGCCCAGTGACTCCCTCCTCTGGAAAGTCCCTCTGTCTCTGTCTTCAGTGAACCTCAGGCACAGCCCTGCGGGTCCCTCACCACACTGTATCCTAGGTGACCACCTTGCCCAGTGGTCTGTACTTGTGTTCTTTGAGGGTAAGTATACCTGAACTCCTTAGTATCTCTAGTCTTTACATGGCACTTGTGTAAAGGGGAGAAATACTGTATCTGGAATGTTAAAGGAAGGAAGAGAGGCTAGAGAAGGGCAGGGAGGTTTGTGCAGAACCTAGGGTTACAGAAGCCAGGAGCGGGGCCCTCAGCTAGTGAGTCATGGCCAGAGAGGACAGGAGAGAAGACAGACTCTCTTAGACTCTGGAAGAGTTGGGGATTCGAAGGGTAGGAGTTTCAAGAGGTTTTAAAGTGGAAAGCTGGGTCCTGAAAGGAGGAAAGACTCTTGCCTTACTAGAAACTACAAGGCAGTTTGTAAAGACAAAGGTGAAGTCTAGGACATGAGCCTGGACTGAGGACAGAATGATGGAACTGACGTTTCTCTTACGGCCTCAGGCTTTGTCAGGTGACGTGTATGACCTAACTTACTGCATATGCATAACAAACTATGCCTTTTAGATCTAGTCACCCTATTTTATGCAGGCAAAGGCTTTTGTATACTAAAAACCCAATGTATGTGAGCAGTTTGGGAGAACACAAGTTAGCCAAAGCCTGAGAGAGACTCAGTTTTGGGGACCATGTTGGGTCTCATAGCGAAGAACTGTCATGGGGTGAAGAGAGATGCCCCATGTCACTGTGGCATAGGGATGGTGACATAAGATGATGCCAACAGCAGCAGCTAACATTTATTAATCACTTCCTCTGTTGCTTTAAGAGCTAATTAATACTTCGATTACTTAGTTTGGAATCTCACTGTTGACTACTTTGGTTTCTTACCCGGCCATGACCAGTACAGACTTTACAGCTCTCATGCCGAAGTCATAGTGATCCTGCTGAGAGAGCTGTTCACTGCAAAGCTTATACATCTGAGTCATTTTTCTTGCTAGTATTTTACTGGATTCAAATCCTTCTGAATACAGAATCACCTAGAATGGAAAAGTATAATCCAATATGTGTATTATATTTATACCAATATATTAGCATAATACCAATGTGTTCAAAATACACTTTAAGAATTATACACCTCCAAATTTTTATGTCACTTAGTAAAAAATGTAGAGATTAAGAAAGGTTTTCTGTGCCACAAGCAGGCAGAGGTGCGTTGTTACACAGGGATGCCCGAGCACTGATTCTGCTTTCTTTCTGCAGGTGCAAATGTGGCTGTGGTGACATTTGGCTCAAGGAGTAACAGAGCCCTGTTTGAAAATGTTCACGTCATGGGGATTGGATGGTGTTATAAGGCCTAAGTGTAAGGGTAAGACCTGAGTATCCCTGATGTGGCAGGCAATGCCACCCAGGACAGAATCCATGGTAGCTATGCACTCCCTTGTAGGCTCCCTGAGAGTCAGGAGAAGCTACACAAAGGTTTGCAGCTTGTCCTCCACCCTAGGAGGCTAACTGCTTCTAACAAGTTTCTGTATCTGTGGTTAAATGAACCACATGATGTCACTGGAGGTGGGTGTGGACCGTTCCTCAACCCAGAGTCTACTCAAATCAGTGCAGTTGGCCTCAGAATTGGGCTGGGAAATGATGCAGACATTTCTTAGTGGTGTCTGTTTTGTTTATTGCTTTGTCACTGCCAATTAGCACGATGCTCTGTACATTGCAGATGATTAAAAATATTTACTGATAACAGAGTTGAATCTATTCAGTCTGCAACAACCATAGGAATAGTACTCAAAAGACTGGATTTTAAAAATTTTCCAATTAATTACTGAGTAATATGACAATAGGACAAAGCATGAAATGTGAACAAAATGCTGGACTGAGTTTTAAACCTGGTTTTCTTCCTAACAGCTTTGATCAACGAGCAAGTCACTTATTGTCCCTGTCCTTAGAGGGTCTAAAGTGAAGAGACCGCTTGCCTTATCTGCCTGCCATCCCACAGTGCCCATAGGGGGTGCCGGGGGACCCATGACATGCTGTAAGCATCACACTAATAAAAATTGTATCTAATAGTAGGATTTGGTATGGTCTATTTTATCCTTAGGTAATTACTTTTACTTTACACAGAATATTCTAAGTTAGCTGTTATTAAAGGAATGTATTAACCACAGGAGTAATACGTGCTTTGAGAAATGCCATTCTAAAAGGAGTAGTGCCTCTTGGTTTAAAATGCAGTGCTGAGAATGAGGGGCTTTCTGGAGTTTTGAAAATGTCCTATATTTTTGTCTTTACCAAAATACATGTGAATACATGTGTAATAATCCACTGAGGTGAATACACGTGCAATAATTCACTGAGTTGTACCCTTATAATCTGTGCATTTTACTACATACAAATTATACCTCAGTAAAAAGTGCCAAGAAAAATACATATAAAATTTAAATATACTGGTTCTTAGCTTGTAGGAAGAAACCAACACCAGTTTAAATAGAAAGATTCCTAGATGGATACAGGAAGAACAAGTACAATCATAAATAACTCATTAATTACTATTTTTTGACTAAGCTGGTACAGCTTCAAAACCAATCCCTGCCCTCCACCACAGTGATTAGTATTGCTTCTGCTCAACATCCCTTGCCTCTAATAACAAAACAATGCAGAGAAGTGAGAGTAATATTTATTATAATAGTAAAATGCTTATTATATAATACCAATATATTAGCATAATGCCAATGTGTTCAAAATCCACTTTAAGCATTATACCTCTCCAAATTGTTATACCACTTAGTAAAGAAATGAAAGATTGAGAAGAGTTTTCTGTGCCACAAGCAGGTGGAGGTGCATTGTTACACCGGGATGCCCGAGCGCTGACTCTGCTTTCTTTCTGCAGATGTAAATGTGGCCGTGGTGACATTTTTTTAGAACACATACAGACATTTTAATTCTTAAAGATGAATTGGTTAATTAAATTCATTGATTCATTCCAGTTTTAGGGGCTTACTATGTTCCAGATACCATTCTGGGTTATTAGGGATATAGCAGTTACACACACACACACACCCTTCTACATGTGAAAAATCATATTTATACTTAAAAGCAAACAATAATGTGAACTTTTGCCAGGGTGCATTCACAAAGACAACTTTTTACCTCAAAAGATTCAAATTGTAAATAAAAGAAACAAGCTGAAATTCTTGCTGATTTATAATATGAATCTCACCTCTGCAATCAAGGCATAATTTGGAACCATCATCGCAAAGGGTCTAAACAGAGCTTTCAAATTATCTGGCAGTTCAGTTCTGCCTGCATACCCAGGATTCATGGTGATGAAGGCTGCGCAAGTCATGACCAACTTTATTTCCCGCCCCTCAAACATGAATCTAGAGAGCTGTTTAAAGGAAAGAGAAAATATAACTTAACACTTCCCCAGACACTAGTAAATTCTTTCCCATAATTAGTACTCGAATATAAAATGTGTAGCGGAGCATTCAAGCAGACTACAGACGGCTGCTGTTGGACCCACTCCCAGTCTCTTCTGGGCTCAGTATTTCCTCTCTCTGTCTCCCTGCCCCTTGCCCAAACTGGCTCTTCCTTCCTGGCCCAGTCCTGCAGTCTTCTAGGCCTCATCATCTTTTGGTTAGACTCCTCAAACAACATAGATTTAGTGACCATTAAACCTCCTCCACCTCTACTTTCTGGTATTCCTTAAGAAATTCTAATCTGATCTTACTCCTTGGGGGACTGAGGCCCCACAGTTACTATCACTGGCCCTACTCCTTCACTTTAATTCAATAGCAAACACCTACTGAGCATCTTTTGCAGTAAGGCAGCAGGTGAGGCCTGGAGGGAGATGGCTGAGGGAGACTCACTCCTGAGCCTTGGAGAGCTTCCAGGCTTGCTGCGTGGAGTCAGACCTGGCATTGGAGAGGTTGGACAAACTACAGACATGGGCATCAGTCAGGCACTCTTACTGGGGAAAATGACAAGACCCAGAATTCTGGAGTGATCAGTAGGAATGAGAGGACTCTAGCAGATAAAATCAAGTAGACTTGGTGATGGCTTAGATTTTGGGGTTCACAGTAACAGGGAAAATCCAAGATGAATTCCAGGTTTCTAGCTGGGCTGCTGGAGGAGGGCACTATTAAGACATCAGGAATTGAGGAAGGACCAAGAGATCTGTCAGTTCCTGGAGGAGAAAATGTGGGACAGTACAACTGGAGACAAGTCCTATTGCCATTGAATGGTGGTTGGTGCCATTCAAACCCGCAAATTTCTGTGCCCTCCCTTCTTCTGCTGCTCCAGACTATCTCAGATGTGGCTAGTCTCCCATGTCCTTCTACCTTCCTCTTACCTCACATGGCTGCCCCCCAGCTGGCCGTGCTTCAATTCTGCCTCCGTGCTCTCACTTCTCCCTTATAACTCCCCGTGCTTTGCTCTCAGCTAATTGCTCAGCAAGGGGATAGTGACTTATGTGTAATGCTACATCTGGGGATCCCTGCATTTAATATGGAGGCAGGAGGGTATGCAGTTGACTTTCAAGCTCAGACTTTAGGGTCACATAGATTTAGGTGTGTATCTTGGCTTACAGTGTCCCCAGAAATATATTTTTAACTTCTTTGAATCCTTTTCACCTATAACGTTGGAAAAATGCCATCTACTTCACATAGGTCTGACATGAAGATAAAATAAGTGTAAAGTACAATGGTTTATATAATTTAGTGGCTCATTAAAGTCCAACTTCTTTTTTCTTTTTACTTGTTCTATAATTTGCTTTTTTGTAGAGGTGATAATCAAAATATTTAATACCTTCCCATGAGAATGGCTTCTGTTGCTATAGCTAGAGCTGGGTCCCCAGGGCCCTTGCTATGCCAGGATGAACCCTTATGGCTAGGTCCTGAGGAGGCCTGGAGCTCTTCAGAAAGGGGCCAAAGCAATGGTGGTGGACCCTCCAGGGGTTCAGGGCAGTGGCTATTTAAATTTAAATACTAAACAAGTGGAAGGCTATTCTGGTTTGTATAGGCTAAACATCCGTCTGCCCATTGTGATCTCATGACCATATCTTGAATGTCAGCACAGAGTGGTAAGGGACATGGTCTCATCCTTCACTGCCATCAGCTTCCCAATACAACCCCCTTCTCCAGGAACATGCTTGTATGGGCTAAAACAAATTTTAAGTAGTGGGCCATCTTCCTATCTTCATCTGACCCCATAATTCCTTGGCTTTTCCAGTCCAGGGAGTTCTGGAGAGTCAAGGTCCCGTTGGGTTCCCCAGGACTCCTCTCCCACTTGTCTACAGCACTAGACTGAGCCTGGGGGCCATAAGAAGTCAGTGGAACCCAGAAGAGGCAGCATTAGAGAAACCTAGCACAGAAGTAAATGTCAAAGGCCAGAACAAGAAAGATGAGGACGGGAACAGGAGGTAGAGGAGATGGGGCCAGGGTATGGGTGCATCTCTGAGTGTGTGTGTGTGTGTTGGGGGTGGGGGAAAGAACAGTTCCTTGGAGGCAGGGACTGAGTCTCACCATCTCTGTAACTCTAGCACAGTGTCTGTATTGCCTGGATGAGTAATTAATTTACCCAGTTAAAGTCCTGTTGTTATAGTACTTGCCAGTTACCCTGGAAACATAGAATAGACAGGCTAAAGTTTGAATTGACCTTTCTAAAGTGCAACATGCTCTAAGTTAACTACAAACTTAAGAGACTCTCCCTCTGTGGCTGTCCAGTGCTTTACCTTTGCGGCTTTGGCATTCCTAATGGTGATGAGCTGCTGTGCAATGACTGACAAAACTTCTATGTCAATTCGATTAAATTCATCAAAGCAGCACCAGGCCCCTGACTGTGCCAGACCACTGAAGAAGCGCCCCATCATCTGAAATTACAATAACACATTCAATTTTGCATTGCATAGTCGAACTCCTCTAAAAGTTAATTTTTGAGTCAAAATATTAAAAGGAAGTGGTATCTGCAAGTAAGCAATAGTTTTATGTGAATACTGAGCTATGCCAGAAGTTAGCAACTTTCTATAAAAAGAAGTATCTTTTTGTCTCTCATTCAATGATTTGCAACTAACTTTTATTTTATTTTATTGAAGTATCATTGACATACAATCTTGTATTGATTTCAAGTATACAACACAGTGGTTCAACAGTTACTCATATTATTAAATTCTCACTCCCACTACACAGTTACTATCTGCTAATATAGGAAGATATTACAGAATCATTGACTATATTCTCCATATGGTACTACCATCCCCATAACCAACATATATTATGATTTTTTTTGGGCCCTTTTATTCCCCTCAACCTCTCTACTCACTGACTCCAACACCTTCCCCATGATAACCACCAGTCACTTCTCAGTGTCCATGAGTCTGCTGCTATTTTGTTCATTTTATTGTTTTGTTTTTATATTCCATAAACAAGAGAAACCATATGGTATTTATCTTTCTCTGCCTGGCATATTTCACTTAGCATAATACCCTCTAGGTTCATCCATGTTGTTGCAAATGGCAGGGTTTCTCTTTTTTATGGTTGAATAATAGTCCATTGTAAATATGTACAACCTCTTCTTTATCCAGTCATCTATTGATGGACACTTTAGTTTCTTCTGCTAATTTTTATTTTTTAAAAAATGACAATATGGCCAATTGTCCTGCTTTTTCAGAACCTTCACTCACCTACGCCAATACTTGACAGGTTCTCAAAGAAACTAACATATGGAATAGACACACGTAAGGACTTAAAAAAATCCTTGACAAATGTTCACTAATGGAAGCTTTCATTGCCTTTACAAGGTACTGTAGATGGTAGACAATACACAGGGGCTACTGAGAGAGGCATAGCTGCACACCAGGTTATGGTAATGGTTCCTAATTTCTTCTACAGCACAATCCTAATGGTAGAGGAGAATGAATATGTACTTGTGGCCATCTAAAGTGCAAAATTTCTTTAGAGACTTGCGTTTTGGGTTAAGCCTTTGTAGATAGCCAATCAAATATTCCCTTGCATTGCTTCTGCCTTTACTCTATAAAAGTCTTCTCCTCCCAGCTCCTACCAGTAGAGTGCTCCTAACCACTCCGGTTTGGCACTGCCCAATTCCAATAGATTTTTACTCAAATAAAGTGCTGACAAATTCAATATGCCTCCTTTTATCTTTTAACACAACCTGAAAATCTAGGAGTGGTCACCTGAACCCAGCTTGCTAGTTAGAATCCGAGTTCTCACATTTGAAATCTGAGCCTGATATTTCCATGGCAAAATTACAGTGTGAAGGCCTTTAAGCTCCTACTGCCAAGGAGGTCCTTAATGATGCCCTAGTCCCTGCCCTGTCCAAATCACTGTTAATTCTTCTTGGATTCTGTGAGATATCCAACATCCCAATATCCTTTCAATAAGCACATTTTTTGTAGTTACTTAAAAGATAAAATAGGAGTATTTATGTATTTAGCAATCTAAACAAAAAAAAGAAGGCTACTTTAAACAAGGAAAATAAAATATGAGAATATTTAAGGGAAGTGGAGGACAGATATAGGAGGTCTAGAGTAAAGAACAGAAAAGGGAATAAAAAAAGTTTCACAAAGTTGAAAAGACACACATTTCTGGTTACAAAGTCCACATATACCCAATAAAATAAATAAAGAAATTTGCCTGAAACTAGATCTTATCTAGATCTAGCCTGATAAAAATGTCAGAACACTAAGGATCAAGAGAAAAATCCAAAAGCTTCCAGAAATAGAGAGGAAGCAAAATAGTACTCACCTCCCAAAATATATTATGTTATTATCAGTTTTAGCATTAGCAAAACTGGTGCTAGAAGGCAATGAACTAAGGCATTCAAAATTATGAGGGAAAATGATTTTAAACCTATAATTTTACCTTCTACCAAATTATCAATTAAGGAGATGACTAGATAAAGGCAATCCATAAACTTAAATGGGAGAAAAAATTGCTCAAGGAAGTATTCCAGCAAAATAAAAAAGAAATATAAGACAGCAGTCAAACTGATACAAAGAACAGTGGCAGTTGAGTATGTTCTAGAACAATGATTCTCAAACTTGAGTAAACAGTGAAATTGCCTGGAGCACTTGTTTAAAAAAAAGACTGCTCGAGAACCAAGATGGCAGTATGAGTAGAGCAGCGGAAATCTCCTCCCAAAACCAAACATATTTTTGAAAATACAACAAATACAACTAATCCTAAAATAGAGACCAGAAGACACAGGACAACATCCAGACCACACCCACACCTGTGAGAACCCAGTGCCTCATGAAGGGGGTAAGATACATGCCCCGGCCCGGCGGGACCCGAGGCCCCACACCCCAGCTCCTGGTGGGAGGAGAGGAGTCGGAGCGGGGAGGGAGAGGGAGCCCAGGACTGCTAATCACCCAGACCCAGCCATCCGCACCAGAGTGTAGACACAGGATGTGCATGGGGTGCTGGATACTAGGGAAACAGGACAGTAAGACCTGTGAGCGGGTCCCTGCAGCCAGCGCCCTGGGGACAAAGAAAAGTGAGTGCTTTTTGAAAGTCTTAAAGGGACAGGGACCCCACAGCTGGACGGAAGCCTGGGACACGTAGCCCAGCAGCTGCAAACCTCAGGGAGCTCTGGGTGCCCGAACCCCTGCAGCGCAGCTTGGAGGCTCCTCACCACGAGTTCCCCCTCTTATGTGGCTCCACCATATTGGAGTAGCAGCCTGAGGCTAGCCATGCCCACAGCAACTGCAGAGCTAAATAAACTCCATAGCAGCCGGGCAAGATCAGAAGCCCCATCTGCACGCAGCTGCCTAGCACAAGCCACGAGAGGCCACTGCTCTCCCAGGAGAGAAAGGTCATAAACTGGTAAGAAGGGACTTTTTCTTACCCAACACACGTGCCAGCTCCCCACAAATATATCTATCGCCATGAAAAGGGAGAAGAAATTGATACAGACCAAGATCACAGAGGCAAACCCTGAGAAGGAGATAGACCTAACCAGTCTTCCTGAAAAAGAATTAAAAATAAAGCTCATAACCATGCTGATGGAGATGCAGAGAAATATGCAAGAGCTAAGGGATGAAGTCCGGAGGGAGATTACAGATGTCCAGAGGGAGATTACAGACATCCGGTGGGAGATTACAGAAATGAAACAATCTTTAGAAGGATTTATAAACAGAATGGATAAGATGCAAGAGGCGATTGATGGAATAGAAACCAGAGAACATGAATGCATAGAAGCTGATGCAGAGAGAGATAAAAGGATCTTCAGGAATGAAACAATAATAAGAGAACTGTGTGACCAATCCAAAAGGAACAATATCTGCATTATAGGGGTACCAGAAGAAGAAGAGAGAGAAAAAGGAATAGAAAGAGTATTTGAAGAAATAATTGCT